AAATCAAACAATTTAAAATCAACAACAATTATTAGATCATCATCGATATAGCATTGATTACACCAAAGACAGATTACACAAATATAATAACATTCACTCACGCGTTCACCCCACACATACAAGTCCTGTATTCTTATCTCTTCGTATTGCATTAAATTGAAAGAAGTCACAGAAATTTAAAATAAAATGAATGTCTTCCCCAATAAGCGTATAACCTTCAGGAAGAGACCCATCATTCTGTTTGCCCATAGGGCATTATTTCATAAATCTTGTCATTTTAAGATACACAGCTTATCTTAAGCTACTGAAATGCCTACATTTGTTTGGTTATAAGTAATCTTCTTGTAATTTATTCATTATCCAATTTACTTAATTATTGTATTTTCGTTTTCATTTTTCATTATCATGTTATTGTTATACATTGTCGTTTAAGTAATTCGTCCAAATTAAGCGCATTGTTTATTTCATGTTTCTTGTTGATCCTTATTACATATTTAGTTTAACCGTAATTTTCATTTCATTTGTTTTGTAAAGCGCTAAGAAACTGTATCTGTATACCGGCGCTATATAAATCTCAGATATTATTATTATTATTGTTGATAGATGAGTGGCAGTTGTTATTGATACTTCAATTTATTAAACAAGATCAGGTCTTACATTATTATGTATTGATCAAACCATTCCCAGGCACGGTTGAATGATATCTATTAATTAATTATCATCATAACAACGGACTGCTACAATTGATAGCATAGCCTAACTACTTAGGATATTTAACCTGCTGATAATATGTTCATAATGTCACAAGATAAAGAAGATATCGTTATCAGTGTGTATATTATGCGTCAGTCATCCTGCTGTAATCAGGGTAGTTCAATTAGCACATTGCAAATACGCGTTTAGATACGACACAAATCTCAACGTAGGCAGAATCGGTTCTTGAGAGGTGAGGGTGTGGGGGGGGGGGTGGGGGTGGGGTGGGGGGGGGGGGGACTCCAATAGTTTTTAGGGCACATGAATGCAGGAACTACCCGAAAACCTACCAATTGAAAGTCCTCGAACCACCAAAATAAAATCTTCTAAAACCGCTCTTTGTTACATATGATTTCTATGCGTTATCACTTCACCCTGAATCAATGAGGGTGACAAGGTCAGTGTAAACACTAGTTGATTATACCTTTTCATTTCTTTACAAGTATTCGGAAGTAATCAACGAATTATCTACTGTTTTGCATTTGTTTAAATTCTGATGGTAACCCGTTTAAGCTGTGGATTCGAAAAGAAAGAAAATGTTTTGACAGAAAAGTAATATTTTTAGGGATTGGGAATAAAGATAAGCATTCATATAATATTAAATTACTTTCGAAGGAGAGTGCATTAACTTCAAATTGACCAAAGTACATAAATTTCTTCCTGAGTTTTCATGATACCGTGGAAATATACCAGGCCAGGGGGGGGGGGTGTTTCACAAAGATTCTAAGTCGAACTTAACTCTAAGTTGGACTTAAATATTATGAAGAGCCATTTGTAGCCTTATAATAAAATATATTTAATAGCGAAAATTCAAGTATTTTAGACTTTTTATAAATTCCACATCAAGAACATGAAATCTCCTTGATAAGAAAAAATATGAATGATTTGAATCGATATTTTATGCCTTTTAAAATAAATTTTACAAAATATTTTCATATGTACTATCGGCTTCCCATAACTGTTAAGTCCAACTTAGAGATAAGTCCAACTAAGGATCTTTGTGAAACACCCCCCTGGAGGGTAGGAGTGAGGGCGGGGGGGGGGGGGCTTGCAGTAATGCCTCAGTCACACCTTTGCGTATTTGGCTTGCGTATTGCTGCGTATTTATGGCAAGCCGTTTTAACAATTGTTCCTATTTCGTGGTATCAAAAAATGAATTCTTGATATCAAGGAATGATTTTCTGTTCTAAAACAAAGGTAATTCTCGATATCAAGAATTGAATGCTTGATATCAAGAATTCGATTTTTTGATATCAAGAAATAGGAATAAATGGTAAAACGGCTTGCCATAAATACGCAGCAATACGCAAGCATAATACGCAAAGGTGTGACTAAGGCATTAGGGGGGGGGGGGGGGGGAGGACAGGAGCCATCATTCATTTGAAGAATTATTGGCCTATTAAGAAACATGTTTTATTGTATGTCCGGACTGTGTGAGAAGTCTTATAAAGGCACATTATTGAAACACGAAAAGTTGCCAAGTCGGTATGAGTACATTTGATCTTTAAGAATTTAACGCAGTTTCAATTATATTTGCTGCTTAGAGAATTCACCATCTCAGTGTTGACTCAAATTCACTATACCACTTACCTACTTGCACTGAATGTGAAAGTTATCTTACTAATACAGAAATAATGAATAAACAACAAAAACAATGACAAAAATGCATTATCCAATTAGGCCTAAAGCGATAAGTGAGATATGAAACAAAATTAATTCTATAGTACACGTATCAAATATAGGTTCTCGGCTTTAAACAAAAAGTCCTATTAGGTAGTGTATGTCTTGGTTAATATTGATATTTGCGAGGATTTACGAATCTAAAGTTCAATTCTTTTATAACTTCTATGCGAATAAGTATCTTTATGACCATGCTTTATGATCAACTTTTTATTTGCTCTGCCGTGTGCAGTTTTGATCTACATGAATTCCGGTTTCCTGGGCACAGTTCAAACGTATCAAACTTCGATGACAAACGAATCTAGTCGTACTCTAGGCATTCTCTGGATACACAGTGATCTCAAGTAATGACAGTTTAACAGAATGATCGCAATGGAGAAATATAGGACATAATTCTCTTCGACCGAACAAATATCTGATTCAGTGATGCTGCATGACATTAACAAACATGGATCATTATGATAAAGAACTCCACGATGCAATATTTCGAGGTGATCTTAAAGCCGTCAAAAGTTTGTTAAAACTTGGTTCGAACATAAATCAGACAGACGCAGGAGGAAAAACCTACTTACACATAGCGGTCCAGAATGGCCAGGAGAATGTCATCGAGACTCTAATAAATCATGGAGCTGATGTGGAGACGGCGAGTCATGATGGAAAAACACCCTTACATCTTGCTGCATCACTCGGACGTCTTAAAGCAACGAAATGTATACTCAGCCAAGGAGCTGATATGGACAAAGAAGACAACGACGGCTTCTGTGCATTACACAATGCTACTCAGAATGGTCATCTTGATGTCACCGAATATCTCATTAGTCAAGGAGCTGAGGTAAACAGGGGAGATAAAGACGGGTGGACTGCATTACACAATGCTGCTAATAAGGGTCATCTTGATGTCACCAAATATCTCATCAGTCAAGGAGCTGAGGTGAATAGGGGAGCTGAAGACGGGAGGACTGCATTAATTGGTGCTGCAAGCAAGGGTCATCTTGATATCACCAAATATCTGATCAGTCAAGGAGCTAAGGTGAATAGGGGAGCTCAAGACGGGTGGACTGCATTAAGTGGTGCTGCAAGCAAGGGTCATCTTGATATCACCAAATATCTCATCAGTCAAGGAGCTGAGGTACGGAGGGGGAAGGGTAACGGTCGGACTGCATTACACAGTGCTGCTCAGAATGGTCATCTTGATGTCACTCAATATCTCATCAGTCAAGGAGCTGAGGTGAATAGGGGAGCTCAAGACGGGTGGACTGCATTAATTGGTGCTGCAAGCAAGGGTCATCTTGATATCACCAAATATCTCATCAGTCAAGGAGCTGAGGTAAATTTAGGCAGAACTGATGGTCGTGGAGCCTTGCAATTCTCTGCTCAGGATGGCCATCTTCATGTCACCAAATATCTGATCAGTCAAGGAGCTGAAGTAAAGAGGGGACAGGATAACGGTTGGACTGCATTACACAGTGCTGCTTTGAATGGTCATCTCGATATCACCAAATATCTCATTAGACAGGGAGCTGAGGTTAACAGGGGAGATAAAGACGGGTGGACCTCATTAATTGGTGCTGCAAACAAAGGTCATCTTGATATCACCAAATATCTCATCAGTCAAGGAGCTGAGGTGAATAGGGGAGCTCAAGACAGGTGGACTGCATTAATTGGTGCTGCAAGCAAGGGTCATCTTGATATCACCAAATATCTCATCAGTCAAGGAGCTGAGGTAAATTTAGGCAGAACTGATGGTCGTGGAGCCTTGCAATTCTCTGCTCAGGATGGTCATCTTCATGTCACCAAATATCTCATCAGTCAAGGAGCTGAGGTGAATAGGGGAGCTGAAGACGGTTGGACTGCATTAATTGGTGCTGCAAGCAAGGGTCATCTTGATATCACCAAATATCTCATCAGTCAAGGAGCTGAGGTAAATTTAGGCAGAACTGATGGTCGTGGAGCCTTGCAATTCTCTGCTCAGGATGGTCATCTTCATGTCACCAAATATCTCATCAGTCAAGGAGCTGAGGTGAATAGGGGAGCTGAAGACGGGTGGACTGCATTACACAATGCTGCTCAGAATGGTCATCTTGATGTCACTAAATATCTCATTAGACAGGGAGCTGAGGTGAATAGGGGAGCTGAAGACGGGTGGACTGCATTAATTGGTGCTGCAAGCAAGGGTCATCTTGATATCACCAAATATCTCATCAGTCAAGGAGCTGAGGTAAATTTAGGCAGAACTGATGGTCGTGGAGCCTTGCAATTCTCTGCTCAAGATGGTCATCTTCATATCACCAAATATCTCATCAGCCAAGGTGCTGAGGTGAATAGGGGAGCTGAAGACGGGTGGACTGCATTACACAATGCTGCTCAGAATGGTCATCTTGATGTCACTAAATATCTCATTAGACAGGGAGCTGAGGTTAACAGGGGAGATAAAGACGGATGGACTGCATTACACAGTGCTGCTCAGGGTGGTCATCTTGATATCACCAAATATCTCATCAGTCAAGGAGCTGAGGTAAAGAGGGGAGATAAAGACGGGTGGACTGCATTACACAGTGCTGCTCAGGATGGTCATCTTCGTGTCACCAAATATCTCATCAGTCAAGGAGCTGAGGTGAATAGGGGAGCTGAAGACGGGTGGACTGCATTACACAATGCTGCTCAGAATGGTCATCTTGATGTCACTAAATATCTCATTAGACAGGGAGCTGAGGTTAACAGGGGAGATAAAGACGGATGGACTGCATTACACAGTGCTGCTCAGGGTGGTCATCTTGATATCACCAAATATCTCATCAGTCAAGGAGCTGAGGTAAAGAGGGGAGATAACGACGGGTGGACTGCATTACACAATGCTGCTCAGGATGGTCATGTTAATGTCACCAAATATCTCATCAGTCAAGGAGCTGAGGTGAATAGGGGAGCTGAAGACGGGTGGACTGTATTACACAGTGCTGCAAGCAAGGGTCATCTTGATGTCACCAAATTTCTCATCAGTCAAGGAGCTGAGGTAAAGAGGGGGAAGGGTGACGGTCGGACTGCATTACACAGTGCTGCTCAGGGTGGTCATCTTGATGTCACCAAATTTCTCATCAGTCAAGGAGCTGAGGTGAATAGGAGAGCTGAAGACGGATGGACTGCATTACACACTGCTGCAAAGAATGGTCATCTTGATGTCACCGAATATCTCATCGGTCAGGGAGCTGAGCTAAAGAGGGGAAATGATAACGGTTGGACTGCATTACACAGTGCTGCTTTGAATGGTCATCTCGATATCACCAAATATCTCATTAGACAGGGAGCTGAGGTTAACAGGGGAGATAAAGACGGGTGGACCTCTTTAAATGGTGCTGCAAACAAAGGTCATCTTGATATCACCAAATATCTCATCAGTCAAGGAGCTGAGGTGAATAGGGGAGCTCAAGACGGCTGGACTGCATTAATTGGTGCTGCAAGCAAGGGTCATCTTGATATCACTCAATATCTCATCAGTCAAGGAGCTGAGGTAAATTTAGGCAGAACTGATGGTCGTGGAGCCTTGCAATTCTCTGCTCAGTATGGTCATCTTCATGTCACCAAATATCTCATCAGTCAAGGAGCTGAGGTGAATAGGGGAGCTGAAGACGGGTGGACTGCATTACACAATGCTGCTCAGAATGGTCATCTTGATGTCACTAAATATCTCATTAGACAGGGAGCTGAGGTGAATAGGGGAGCTGAAGACGGGTGGACTGCATTACACACTGCTGCAAAAAATGGTCATCTTGATGTGACCGAATATCTCATCAGTCAAGGAGCTGAGGTAAACAGGGAAGATAAAGACGGAAGGACTGCATTGCTCATTGCTGCTCAGGATGGTCATCTTGATGTCTCCAAATATCCCACCAGTCAAGGAGCTGAGGTAAACTGGGGAGATAAAGACGGGAGGACTGCAGTACACATTGCTGCTAACAAGGGTCATCTAGACATCACTGAATATCTGCTCAGTCAAGGATCTGAGGTAAACTGGGGAGATAAAGACGGGTGGACTGCATTACACATTAGTGCTCAGAATGGTCATCTTGATGTCACCAAATGTCTCATCAGTCATGGAGCTGAGGTGAATGGGGGAGCTAATGACGGGTTGACTGCATTACACATTGCTGCTCAGAATGGGCATCTTGATACCACCAAATATCTTATCAGTCAAGGAACTGATTTGAATAGGGGAGATAAAGACGGTTGGATGCCCTTACACCATGCTGTTCGGAATGGCTACCTTGAAATCGTTAAAGTTCTTCTGGTAGAAGGAGAACGTTTTGACATGGGAGACATTCACGGGGAGACACCTCTTCATCTGTCCATAATGCTTGGGTACCAAAGTATTGCAGATCTATTAATCAACCGTTCATATTCGAAGGTAAACTTTTTAACATCACACTTGATATCAAATTCATCTACCCTGATGTATTCAATCCATGATTCATTTTAAATAACAAGTAATGACATTCTATTTAGTAGATATAAGGCATTTAAGGCATAGGCTACATAATTTATAATCATGTATTCAGACTTGACCAGCTCGATTATGAAATACTACAATAATATCTTGTTTTTTTCTTAATCATACATAAAACACAAGATTCACTTCAGTCCTTCAGTTTGTTTAACTGTGAATATACATGTTTGTCACATGTTAATACAATGATTGCATAAAAGTTACACGAATCAAGGGATAATTGATCCCCTGTCACTTTACTCTCTTACTTATTCGTGCTGTTTATTTATCATCCAGTTTGAAGGAGACGAATTGATGTACATTCATCATGCCTTACAACGCGGTCACACCTCTACCATTGAGAAATTAGTTTCTAAGGGAGCTGATCTCAATATCCAGGCACCTGACGGCCAGACGTGTCTCCATAAAGCCATTAAGTTCTGCTACACGACCGAGAAAATCGTTCAGGAAACTGATACACTAAGGAAGGTGAGTCTTACCCCTTGCATACCAACAAGTACGACACCAGACCGCCGACTGTCCAACAACAAATTGCATATCCTCAAACGGCCAAGTATTGGTGGGTTTGGTGTCTGCGTGGAGTCGTTATGGCTTTCTGACTGAGGTACATGTATATTGATTTTCTAGATTACTAGGGAATTATAAAAACTGATACCTGCGATTGCTCCAAGAAAATGTGTACGTGGGTGTATTTGGTAGTGCGTGTGCGTGTGTGTGGGTTTGTGTGCATGTGTATGTATGTGTGTGTTTGGGGGAGGGGGCATTTTACAATGTAAATTATAAAGTTATTAGGGATTACCACTATAAATCCAAGATGTAGCGTAAAAGTATGCTTGTGGTGCTCATCCACCCTGACTATGGATGAACATATCATTCTATGATTTTTTGGGGGGGTGTATTTTTCAGATCTCTGATGAGTATTACAAGAGCGAACTATCTCCTGAGAAGGCCTTAGTGTTCTATCTCCTTGAGAATGGAGCCAAGTTAGATGTGAAGGATGAGATGGGCAACCTACCAATCCAATATGCCAAGGACGAAGTGGTCAAACAGATGATTTTGTCGAGGTGATACTTACAAGTCTAAAAGAATAAAATTTTGTCCCCGCCAGTTGTAAAACAAACGATTTATCGCTCCAACCTAAGGAAATAATGCATTTTCATCTTTCTCTTTTGAGATTTGGTTAAAGAATTACATTTTTGTATTAAAAAGTCTAGCCTTATTGTAAATCTTAATAGTTTATTATGAATGTGTTGGTCAAACAATAAATTGTACATATTATTTGACAATTGTGACTATTACTTTGTTCGGGCTACTAAGTGAAACCTACTAGGTCGTAAACTCCACATTATCCTTGTTTTTTCATTATCTACTCAGATAGTCTGACATTTTACAGATGTTCGATTCATGTCAATATCATTTAAGTAATTTTTCGTTGATGGAAACAGATACACGTTTTCATAGCCCAAATTCTATGTAAATGGCTTATCGTCTTTTTTTTTACAACTGCACTTATTATTTTTAGATTACCTTCTTTAAAGGAGATCCAGTCTTATCGAGGTAAGAGAATCCTTCAAACGCAAACAACTTTTTCCAGTGTAAATTCTTAACGAGTAATTCTATTTTTCTCTGATCCATTAAGTCACAGATCAAAGTTCTAGCGATGATTATTTTTTAAGTTTTCCATCCCTTAAAACAAGGAATTTAATAATTTATTGACTTGGCCGTTTGCTAAGTCGCACACACATCTCGCCTATGTACTCGCTACAAAAACGAAATTCTTATTCATTTATTAAAAACCTTAGTGTCACGTTTCCATCAATGACCCAAATACGAAAGATGAACGTTGAGTGAGCCCCAATTAAAAAAAAGAAAATATAAATAAACAAATGGATATAAATAGCAATATAAATAATGCATTATTGATTTACCATAGACCCCCAGTCAATTATTACAAGCCAGACTGGAATGTCAGTGTTTTGTCAGTTCTAATAAAGTGAATCCTTTTCATGAACAGAAATGAGATGAAAATTATATTTATATATTGGTGTATCATTCCAATGACTATTCAGATTTGCATATAAATTTATTTTATTTTTTAAATCTGTTCTTATTATCTTTTCATTTCATTATGTTTGAAATATACAAAAGATGGGCCATCAACGCCTGCCATCGTCTCCGTTGAAGCCGAAAGAAATACCAGTCAGGAAATTGAAGTAGAAGACCATGGCGTGTCAATGTTGTTTCCTCCGGAGGCTGTTCATCAGAGTGATCCGTGCAAGATCACCTTAACCCTCTTACACGACCCTCCAAGTGTTGACATCCAAGATGATGAATCAGTGGCCTGCTATGGGATCAGATGTGACCCTCCAAACATGATCTTCCACCAACCTGTTAAGATCAGGATACCACACTTTACCATGGTCATCAACCCCGAACAAGTGAAGCCAGACATAGTTTCCCGTGTATGGGATTCAGTCGACGGTTAGTCCATTTGGGCCAGATTCAGAAATCGAATCATCTTTTATGGTTTGATAAAAGGATATTGATGCCCCAAGGTCCAATTTTAGCTTCCGAAGAAAAATAATTTTGAATAAAATTCTTATTATACGTCCCAAAACAATATTTGTTATACTTTTACTATCCTTGTAACACCAATTGGAAACAATTTGCTATCTATCATATACTCCTACCTCTTCGCCATAAGTACACGCCGCCATCAGGTGTATTTATAAAGACAACTAACCTTGAATCCTGAATCTTGAATTCTGATTGTGGTCTTAGAATGCTTTCAAATTGAACTTGGGTTTAGTCGTTTTTACCTCTAGGTATTGTCATCCTTACAGCGCCAAAACGTCACGAGGAACACATTGCACCTCCCATGTATTCGTGGCAAACTTCATTAAAGGGGAACGTGCGAAGGGGGATTTGTGCTTTTCAATATGGCTTCTTAAAGGGATCCGGTAACTTTGTCTCAGATTCTGAAACAAAAACCTGGATTTAGCTCATGCTGCAATTATAATTATAAACCTTTAGGTCAGTCAGGAACTCCATGACTTTAACAAGCCAATCGCCTGTCTGATTATCAAGATATTTATGATTGCAAATCGAAACCAAATCTCACTCAAAGATTTTTAATTTTTTGGAGGCACTTCTTGATCATTTTGAAGCGCAATTGTTTTAGGGCTTCAATATTACACCATATCACAGACACTGATAACACGTAGGGCCGTGCATCTCATATTTAACATTGTTAAGCGATGCCTTTAAAAATCTTAAATGCATTAAAAGTTATTGATTTTGAAAAGGCTACACACTATGGATATAAGTATTTGATGTCAGTGTACATATGAGGCTTCACTCTTCGGCTCCGTGGCGACACAACTTTTCTCAACGACAAATGCATTTTTTTTTTGTTACCCTCCGACATCAGATCTACCAAGAACATCAAGAAAAAGATCATCCAGCTCAGCAGCAGAACCACCATACTGCAGAATGTACAGGAGACATCTTGAGCTGTTCATTGCTCACTGTGCTGAGTGGTGGGTTCTTATTCCTCTTGAACAGCAGGTGATCCGACACCAACTTATGTGCACCCCATACATCCCAGACAAGATAGAGAGGGGCAAAGAGTTTGAAGTTCACCTTCAGGTGCTTGCGGACCTTCCTGGGATAGAAGCGGTCAGTGAAAAAACGCCTATTTATTAGAAATACATTTCCGGAATTTATTACTTACAAATAATACTGAATGTTTCACCAGTTTCTACCGGCTTCTGTAGGCGGACTGATGCCCATTTTAGTGGAAGCCCGTCTAATTCATACTTGATGAATGCTTTTTGCGAGCCTCTGTTTGCCTTCAATGGCATGTATTTATCTACTGTGCACAGAAATATATAAATAAACGAACGACCCATTTTGACATGAACTTTTCATGTTAGGTAGCTCATAGAAAGGTCTCTCAAACCACTGTATAACACACCAAATGAGCTTACTACGAAAGCCTGTCTTAATATTATATTGCTACTTGATGAATCAACGTCTCAATGAAACTATAAAGAACGAACAGTAATGGTCATTCGTTTCAAATCAGATAAATACTCCTGGAAAAAATGTTGCACATTGGAAACTGTAATATTTCCATGCCTTGTCCCGTAGTTAGCCCTACATGGGGATTCTTTGGTGGAATTGTATGGTTCTCGAAATTTGTTCCCGATGAATTATACCATTGTCCGTGTTCTTTAGCAGCTACGTAGAGCCCCCCATGTAGAAAATCGTCCATCTTTATGGTTGCAATTGGGTAAATAAGTTTTGCATAACTCATAAGGTATGATTATATATATATATATATATATATATATATATATATATATATGTGTTTTTAGAGAATATACAATTTTCGTAATGTATTGCACAAATCTTTGTTAAGTGCCTCGTTACAAATTAATTTATTCACCGTTACACATAATTGTATTTCAATAGCCGGCATGCGAATTGCATACATTAATTGCTGCTAGGTAGGACAAACATCATGACTTGCACTACCTTATTTTTAGGACAGTGATTGCTCACTGCGAAGAATTATTTTGAGTGATGTACTAGTTATTAGTCTTCTGTTAAGATTCGAAATAATTACTATATTGAAAAAATATTTTATTCTGTAAATATAATTTTGTGGTATGTAACAAATGTACAGGGGATTAACACTGATGTGTGTCGATGGTACTTTCTTCCTTTGAATTAGGATATGCAAGAGGAGAAGAAGCAGCAGTCGTACCACAAGAGCCATCGCTCCGTTCCCTTCAGTGTTGAATCGAAGTCTGGTGACGTCAAAGTGACGTGTCATCGCGAGGGAGAACAAGTTGAAAGCAAGGTAATCAGAGTTTATAAGCATTTTTATGACGTGTCAATGTTTACCATGATAATCTATAGGTAGTAAACGACTTTTTAGTTTCCATGTTGTCTTTTTTCATAAAATTTACCCGGGTTTAAATATAAATGTCAGAGGTAACAAAATGTTAGAGGTAAAGGATTTCAGAGGTAAAGAATTTCAGAGGTAAACATGTCAGGATTAAACAGGTCAGGAAAAACATCTGGCATTCTTACCTCTGGCATTCTTAACTTATGCATCTACCTCTACCTCAGGAACTTTTACCTCTGACAGTTTTAACCTTTTATCATTCTTAGCTCGGTATTCTCACTTTTCGTATTCTTACCTCTGACATGTGTTTCAGTGTCACGTTTTAGCTCTGGAATGTATACCTCTGATATTTGTTTACCTCTTACATTATTTCACCTCTTACAACTGACATGTCTACCTCGGGCATTTTCACCGGTTTTTTTTTACTGACATTCTGACATCTGGCACTTTTACTGGGCACGAGTTGTTACTCAAGCATTCCCTTTCCATATTTGATGAAGTTATCCGAGTTGGAGATCACCCTATTGATGCCTAAGGTTGGATATAATGATCACATCCGGGAGGAGGAAGGGGGACTTTGCTACCAATATTATGAGCTAAACCAAATGGTGCAGTACGGACTCTGGCGGAATGTTTCAATGGTAAACACAATCGCATCATATTTCGAAGGGGAAACAAAAATCGTTTATACGGTATATATAATACGGTATTGAAATCACCCTTGAACTGATTCATTAAAATTAATTGTGATAGTGTTGGTAACACTACTGATATGCTTTGAAAACATTTACATAGCTCGATTTTTGTTCCCTCGTGATAACATTGTTTAAAATTTAATATTTATATTTCTTTCTGTACTTCAACAACATAGGTTCTCTGTTTAAGCGATGTTTATAGCAAGATGAGACACAACATATTCCTTTCCGTGACTCCTAGTGAGGAAGCTGTAGAATCCACAGAGATTACCATTACGATTACACAGGCTGGAAAGCTTGGGGTGTCTCGATCCATTGCTTTTATCATCAGACACACAGGTATATGTAGTCTCCATTTGTTATATCTTTGAGCACTTAATACCAAAAAATCAGTTAAATTCGATGTTAATAACTCTAGAGTATGATGAAAGAAAGAAAGAACTTAAAAAGTGTGTAGAATCTCACGAGAATTAATGAAATAATCTAGGTTATCATTGCACTCGAATGTTATGTATTTTAGAGAGAAATAAATACCCCAGATTATCTTAAGAATGAAGCCAAATTAGAGTTCAGAATAGGATTTACTTTCATTAAATATTAATTTTTGAAAGTTCGTCATGAAATGCGAAATGAAAGTATATGTACATTCGCATTTTGTAATGTTCCTTTTCAAATGACTCTTTGTTGATACATTTCTTCTGTAAGTTTAATCATGCGAAAAAGGGTCAGCAAACTATTTAAAAACTAGACGCCATCAGGAGAGGAAATATACAAAAATGATGGGGTTTTTGTATTTCCCCATTTCCCCTTTAATTTGCTCTTGTTTAAATTGCAGATGGACCGGAGTACGAATCTCCTTCTGAGCCCCTATCATTTGTTCGGTAAGTTTCATCTCATACATCATCAATAATAATGCTATTTCCTTTGAACATATAGTAACATGCCTTGTATATCGGTAGTGTTGGTATGAAACTTTATACTCTTTAAGATTTGTGGAAGAGATCAAACCCATACTTCTGTGTTTCTTTGTTTTATTTCAGGACTCGAACAAAATAATCATGAATTCAAACAGATCACGTGAAGTTAGGAATTTGTGTAGTAAATTGTACGTGCTATACATATTCACAACGGAGCGATCCATTGTTTTTGGAACGTTATCGTGTAATCATTCCTGGGTCTATGATGTGCAGGGTAAAACTGAATAGATGTCCTGCCAAAAGTCATTAGCGTCGGGATGTTGTCCATACCTTTATAACCATTGTTTAAAGTAGCTTCAACGAAGCGAAGTGATTTACCAGGACAGCTTCGCCTTATCTTGTACTTGTAGGGCAGTGGAGGAAGTCTCGAAAAGTGACCTGCCGGACATTGATATCCTTACAATAGCCCAAACAATGACAGTAGACGAGTTCTATGATTTGGGAGTAGCTCTTGGTTTCACCATACAACAACTGGATGTCATAGAATACAGGAGGTTCCATGACAGAGAGCAGGCCACCTATGACATGTTGGTGACATGGAGAGAGCGACAACCGTCCGGTCAAGCAGCAAAGGAAGCGTTTGTCTCACTCATGGAATCTTTAGATTCATCAGCAGTAGAAATGGCCATCTCAGGTTTGACTTTTGAACAAACTGTCGGTTTCTCTTTAAAATGAAGAAAATGATTATTAAACAATGGAAACAATTGAGTAGAAAATGGATTGATTCAACATGTTTTTAAATCGTACCCACATTGAACCCAAATTGTTGTAAAACATTAAGCTTCAACCTTTCTGATAACTTAGGAACGAGTACACATAAGTACTTCAAGTTTTTTTTTCAAGCAACTTAGATTCATAGAGTTAAATTATCAGAACAGCTATGGATAATAAATATTTTCTCATGACATATTGGCACCCCGTTCAACTTGTAGTTCAGTTTTATGGGTTGCTAGAAGTTGAGGTCGAGGGTATTATTAACAATAAGTCCCAGTAAACCAATTTCGAGACGCTAATGGTACATAACAGTCAATAAAGAAGTTAGAGTAGTATACTAGATCAATGTTAATAGTGCGTTGGACCGAGGGCTGAAATGTAGTGAACTATAAGTATTTGAGTTGTGTCAAGATATTGCAATACATACTAAATGTCCTTTATTCAACAATTACAGAACAAAAATGAATGAATAATGGGGTGGGGTACTCAAAAGTAGTACTTATCTAGTATAGGCACATCATACAAGGGAGTGTGAAGAAAGTACATGCACTAATTGGCTTGGCCTATTAAAACCAGACAAAAAACTAGTTTAATTTCGTTTTCTTTTGTTTAATCGATTTATTCTTATAATCTTATCCTTTTGTGTTTTTATGTTTATATCTTTATGTTCTATTTCGGCTAAACTACGTGCATCAGACATTGGACATACTGGGTAAGATTCTAATTCATTCAGTGCTCAACCAAAATAATGATACAATTGATATATAACTTGTGTTTAGTGCTATTTATTTCCGCCAAATGAAAATAAAATGGCCGCATTATGGGAAATGCAAGACACTTAGTGGGAAGCATATGTTTAAAATGCAAAACCCTCATAAAAGACCAAAGCAATCATTAGTTCATGAGTTCATTTTTATTTTCCAAAGCAATAAAAAATAAAAACTTGTGGAAACGAATAAAAAGCCTATAAGACGAACAAACTGTGAACAATCAAAATTCAATACAAATACACAAAAAAAAAGACGTCAAGCAAATAATAATGGGAATGAAGATTTAAGATAAGGAATTCAATTAAATAGGATGTACAAAAGCATTACACATGAAATTATTGTGGAAGGATCCACGAGGAAGATAGTTAAAGAATCCGATCAGGAGTATTAAAATAACACGAGGAAAGAAGGAGAAAGGGAGGGAAAGGGGACGAAAACGAAGAATAGAAGAGAAAAAATACGCACACGCGCACGCCCGAAAGGCTCGCTCGCCCACATACTAGTATCTTAAAACTCTAATAATAATCTTCAGGTGATTCTATAGGACAGTTTTTGCTGCAAAAAAGAGCGAATAAACCGGGGCCCTATGGGTCTCTTGACTTAAACTTTATCCACTGATACAGAGAAATTCCTGACAGGACACTGCTTGCGTTCGCCCGTCAGATCAGACCACAGAAGTTCTATGAGATTGGCGAGAAGCTGGGATTCACCAAGTCAGAGTTACAATACATTGCACGTCGGACATACAACAGGAATGACGCTAACATCCAAATGCTCTCAAGTTGGAAAGCATCACAGACTTCGGGGCCTAAAGCAAAGCAGATATTGAAGCTGGTTTGGGACTCTGTACAGGACGTATCGAAAGCAGAAAAAACAAAGGGTATCATAAGTCATACTATTATGTTCTTCTACTGCTCTCTCAAGTGCGACATAGGAAAGAATCATTCAAAGAGTCCTTATCTATATCGGAATATATATATAACTTGATTCAATTGTCATGCCTCATGACTGTACATCAAAATATTCATTCGAATTGATTTACTGTATTTCACGGTTACATATGTAGACTTTCCATTAAAAACTGAGCTTTCTCTGTTATCTACAGCATAAGATACCCAAGAAATAAGGAACTTGGACATTATTCTCTTGGACTCTTTGAATAATCATGTATGCCATGCCCGATGAGTGATTAAAACTAAATATGGAAATTAAAGAGGCTATTATGCTAAGGGCAGTACCTATGGTCATAATGGCCCAATATTGTATATCTTGTAGACGAAGAAGAAGAAAAAGTCGAAGAAGACGAAACAGTGGCTGTTCAAGGACTTGAAGTGAATTCTACTACACCGCCTGAACAAAGAACAGAGCAGAACGAGCCTGAAGATATGGAAATCATCGACAACATTTCAGATTCTGGTATGTTACATTAGTGTAAGAATGTCCTTTCACAGTGCAATGTCTGTCGTAAGGTTATTCCAAGATTGTAGTTTATATGATAAATTAAGTTCATATATCTATAGAGAGAGAGACTAACTGCCTTGTTTTTCAAGACGACCCAAGGAAAACATAACAAAAGTCCATTATAGACAGATGGACTTTCTAAACACACATTACACAGATTTCTCTCTCTCTCTCGAGGGGGGGGGGGGGGGGGGGGGGTGTGTTACACCCACAAATGTAATAACTCCCACAAATGTAATAACGCCCACAAATGTAATAACACTTTACCCACAAATGTAATAACACCCAAAAATGTAATAACACTTTACCCACAAATGTAATAATTTCACCCACAAATGTAATAACCACTTTACCCCCAAATGTAATAATTTTGAATCAACCACAAATGGGGGTGTTAAACCCACAAATGTAATAACGCCCACAAATGTAATAACGCCCACAAATGTAATAACACTTTACCCACAAACGTAATAATTTCACCCACAAATGTAATAACCACTTTACCCACAAATGTAATAATTTCGAATCACACACAAATGTAATAATGACTTTACCCACAAATGTAATAAATTTGAAGTGATATTTTGTCGAATTTGTTCAAAACTAAAACCCTGTAATAAAGCATGGGTAAAGCGCGCAGTCTTTACTCCAGACCCGGTTATTTCAAAAAATTAAAAAAATCTTCAAATCTAAGACCCCATAATCCTTTTCCTGTGGAATAACATGAGAATCGAGTGTAATCTTTCCTCCAGACCCGGTTATTTCAAAAGAAATAGAAATTTAAACAAATCTTCGAAACTAAGACCCACCATCTTATTCCTCTTTTTTCTTCATTTAAAAATAAATTACATTATTACATATGTGGATACAACACGTCACAAATAAATGATTGGTCAGCGGTCACACGAACTGACGAATCAGTCCAAATGGTCCATAGCTATAACACACAGAGGAGGGACCGATTCGATGGTTCGTTGACCGTCGACGATTTTTTTAATCATGTAAATATTCTAACGCCCACAAATATCCTGGAAATCAATGTTCGTAGAAAAAAAAGTAATCGAATAAGTGACCTTAAATGTATTTAAATATTGACGCTGATTGTTTTATGCATGTGATTATGTTCACGATATGTAACATAATATATATATATATATATATATATATATATGTACGCTATTAGTGACATTGAAACGTTGGATTGCAATGTTATATTTTCATGAGTGCGTGTATGAATTACCTTTCTTCATGTGATGAACGTATCAATCAGTTATACTGAAGACTACCAATTGGTACGCGGTACACGTTGTGAATTCATGAGAACGAAATTCATATGGCTCCGTTTAGTCTCCTTTCACAACGCCCCCTATCGTCAGAGCATGGTCAGATTCAGCAGCCTAACATGTTAGCCTATGGACGTTTTTTTAAAAACTCGTTAAAAATTCATTTTTTGTTTAAACGAAAAGCACATCCACCCCGACGTACGTTATCACTAGCTCTTTCATTGGAGCCCTCATGTCTCATTGACTTTTGAGAGTTCACCCACCGTAATTTTTCAAAATAGGTTGCAAGCTCGTCATTGCCTATAATACACATGTGAAACAAGTCTAACTTTGGACTCAGTTTACCAAGCGATTTGAAGATTATTGGTCGAGCACATAAAAAGCATGAATTATCATAGATCACTTCTGCCTATTTCGTTTTGTCCATTTCATCCAACCCCCACCGTAATTTTTCCATTTAGTAAAAGCAAACATTTTGTCGAGTTTAGCAAAAACATGAATATTCATGAACGGTCAGACAATACAGCCTTTTAGTACGTAACGTATAGTGAATGGGAATGTGCGATGATCCGTGTAGGAGGTAGAGGTCAGTGGTTTGTGCTGGCAATGTTCACGCGAGCGAAAATGAGACAATCGGAGCAATATGTATTCAAAGGCAAATACAAACAAAACACATTTATATTAAAGTTTTCCCTACTTCTGAAACACTCAAGCAGCTATATAAACAAGAACAAGTCTGAAATGATAATCGGTTAACAAGTAAATAACAACTCATACTTTCATATAACAAATCATAAATAGCTGTATAACGAGATCACGCGAAACATGACATAATGACTACTGACACAAGTACGGATACATTGGCATGCCATCAAAACCGTTCGTGAGCGAAATTGAAATAAAAATAAATAATAAAAAACCTAGATTAATGTACATTCCAGAGAACAATGAACACCAAAACATGATTGAGAGAGTATATAGATATTTCATCAGTCAAAGGGTTCTGCAATCGTTCATTCAAAACATGCAAATATGTAAAGTCATTATTACATTTGTGGGTAAAGTCATTATTACATTTGTGGGCGATTCAAAATTATTACATTTGTGGGTAAAGTGTTATTACATTTGTGGGTGTTATTAAATTTGTGGGTAAAGTGTTATTACATTTGTGGGCGTTATTACATTTGTGGGTGTAACGGGGGGGGGGGGGGACAATATGCATAGCTGCTTTTGACAAGTGGCCTTTATAGAGTGCTGGTAGTTGTTTTATAGCGTTCATTCAGTACCTTGACTGAATATATATGCCATAATTTCAGTCATTTAAAAAAAAATAATAATAATCAGTTATTGTTTGTTTGTTTGTTTATTTTATTTAAGCACGGTGGCATACTTCAGCCAAAGGCTTGTCTTCAGCAATTGTAATAATATAATTAATTCACCATTATCGCAATTTATTAGGAGTCTCTTGATGGTTTACAGCTTGGTACTTTTTTTTTTAAAGTTTAATCTGGTCGGCCTGGCTTCGATTGCATTGAAAGCTAGCTTTACTCGACACGGCTTCTCGGCTACTCGGCCATTTAGACAGGCTGTACTATATATATATATATATATATATATATATATATAACATATTCTATTTCATAAACCATAGATGAAGATGAACGTGGTGGAGACATCGACCTATGTGGAGGTTCACCGAGTACGGCCGAGCAGTGTATCGTTGCTCTTCCGGTGAAGAGTCTGTCTTCAGCATGGGAACTGGGGAAAGCCCTTCGTCTGGATGATGACTTCATTGTTGGTGTCGTTGCACCTTCCGATTCTGCAGCGATGAACAGACTAGCACGGCAACTCCTCAACAAGTGGTGCAGACGTTTAGGAAGCCAAGAGAAGAAAGTACTGATGACAAAGCTTCTTCAAGATTACAACATCCAGGATTGCAATGCAGGTTTGATACAATTATGGACAATTCTAAGCCCTACTACGTATGGTATTAAAGTCTTTTCCCGTTCACGTTAATTTATAGTAGACATCACCTGGGATGGTTAGTGTATTTTCAGTGCGTAAGTTGTATTTAGAAGTGAACAGGATCATGGAAAGTTGTAATTACTGTAGATGTTAGAATTATGCGAATTTTTAGTCCAATTAATGAAGGATAATACGAAACGACATCGACAATCATGGCAATAAAAGACCAAATTACAATTTTTTCTTCTTTTTTTTTCTCTCCAGGTCTTGATGAAATTTCCGAAAAAATTTGCACAACTCCAGATCTACTCGACCTTTCCCAACGCCTTGATCTAGCAGCTTCTGAAATCCTGCCGGTCATGTCCACATCTGTGTCCTGTCCACTAACCTTAATACGACACATCGTTATACAGATGCTTCAAGAATGGGTACGACATGGAGGAACAAGACAGAGGCTTCTTGAAATTGCTCAAGCTTTTCAGTTCAATGATGTAGCAGACAAAATAGCAACAGGTAATTATAGTTAACATAACTTCGTTCAAAGTCTCCTCATAAAGAAAACCCAGTGAATAAAATATTTGACCTGTCGTGTCATAGTTCGACCACATTCATATCAACGAATGATGGAATTTTACTGCAAGTGTTTTTTAAAACCTTTAAAAAGATAAATTTTAGAACTTGTGCGTCATTCTGATAATGATAACCTGTGTATAATCCCGACATGTCTTTTAGCTGTTAATTGTGTCTTTGTATCATCCGTTGGTAGCAATGGAAAATCACCAAGGTTTCAAGGACCCATTCTCTCATGGCATCATTGATCACGACGGTGGAGATCTGAAGCTAGATGAACTGAACATCAGAGTATCCATTCCTGCAGGAGCAATCCCTAAAGGGATGAGATCTGTGGTCACTCTCAGTGTACCTAGTCGTTCATCTAAGATTCCCCTTAAGGACGGAGACGTTCTCATTACTCCAGTCATTGAATGCTCTTTCACTCAAGAACTTCTCAAACCTGCGACTGTAGCTCTTCCACACTGCATCCAACCGGAACAACATCAAGATGACTCACATGTTAGCCTTTACACCAAGTTAGGACCAGGTAGCCCTTACTATTCTTCTTTTCTATTCTTCTTTGTACAATTTCTCGTTAGTTTTCAAAATATGCTGAAAAAGTGTGTCACTTTTAACATCCCAACATTTCCAAATGATTAACTCTGTTTTTAAATCACGAAACTAGGTAAAATTTTCTAGTCATGTAAATAGATTTAGGAAATAAATCTCCTAAACATTTCTAAAATGACGGTGCATGATATATGATAACATATATTCAGATTAATTTATGCTTGGGCCTGGTGCGTGTGTGTATTACTTAAATATATTCTGTTTTAATTTTGGATAATTTACATAATTTTTTTCTTCTTCCTTTTCACTCTTTTTGTATTTTCCAAGGTACATTTGGTTACAGGAGCTTAATTCCAAATACATCAAGAGATTTCCATATCTCAGAGGACATGGTTGGTTTCCCTACGCGTCATCTTCAACTCTTGGGATTGTCATCAAGCAACGTTCATGGAGTACAATTCACCTGTGAAGTATTTCAGCCTCTGTTCATGCCTTCTTCACAGAAATCTACACTACGTATTTGCATAGCTCATCCCTGCAGCAGATATCCTGCCGTATGTAGACTATTAATGACTTCTTACATCATTTACATAATTATAGCACTCAAACCCGTCACGATTTCATGCTAATACTGCTTAGACATTATTACCCGGGTTATATGCGAACCGTGGAATGGCCCTGCAGTGTACGATAAACCCCCACAATGAGCTTCAATTCAAAATAAATATAAACAAATATTTAAAAAACCTCTTAAATGACGTGTAGACAAAGCTACAAGAGTAGGGAAGATAATGAAATAAAGCAACTTGTATGATTTTGCCATCTTGTTGTTGAATTGCTCAGGTTTGTAATCCAAGTACACTATTCAGTCAAGTTTTCAATCATGTTTTGTTGTCAGGATACATGTAGAAGACAGGATAGCTTGTTGGAACCATTCTACCAGGTGGTGACCGTGATCAAGTTCCGTCTGGAATCAAAGGAAGATGATCTGAAGATTTGGTGTCTTTCTGACTCAGAAAAGGTCCAGGAAACCGTACGTATCGCACTAGAACAGTATGCATGAACTGTTATTTTATTCCATGTCCACAAGATTTTTTTCTTCACAAAATTGATTATTGTATTACGTCCTCATACTAAACAAATTTTGATTAATCGATCACCCCCCCCCCCCTATAAACCACCTCGATAAATATATTTCTTCACAGAGCTGACAATACAACTTAAATATTATCAACATCAACTAATTAACAATCTCTGACATTTCGTTATCTGCAATCTTGTTTGAAAATGTTTACCAGGTCCCTGTACGTTGTCTACTAGAATGCAACACCTTAAACTTCGATCTGCTTTCCTCACACGCTGAGGGAGGCCCGAAGAGTATCCATCTACGTATTGAGCAGGGCACATCAACACTCGCAGAGCAATAAATAACTCAATAGAAGGTATGTCAACTCTTGGTTATAAAATAATTTAAATGACCTCGTTTCGCCATTAGAAGGAAGTTTACACGATATGTCATCCTGAAATATCTAGACAAGGAGGTAGTAAGTAACATATAAAAGAACCACCCCAAGAATGGGAAATTAAATCGAAGTTATACTTGGTGTGGTAAATCATGGAGAAAACCATTCTTTTTGCATGTCATACACATAATAGTATTTTCAGCCAATCATCGCAGTTCAATTGTAGGCCCACATGGAAAATAGTAGCCGACCATTGGGTAAACATATCGATTAATTAAGTGTTTTTCTACCAAAAGTGTGAGTTTTGAAAGGCCGTTCATGTAGACACATACTATCTCCCCATTCCATGTGTTCAGACTCTCTGTCATTATGTTCACACTTAATTCGTTGTTTCCATTAATCGTGCAGAAAGGATTAAACGAAATATACTTGGGCTTCAATCGTTCAGTGGCCAATATTTTTTAACAAGCCGAATAGCAACACCTTCAACATTCAAACCATGGTTACATCTTTTCCCTGCCCTTAACTTAATATAACTTTAAAAACAATGTCTCAAATAAATAAATTGTCCAACTACATCCAGCACACTCGAAGAAAAGTGTCCAAATGTTATATGTGTGTTAAAGACATGTTCATAGTGATATATACCAAGCGTGAACATTCACTTAAAAACGATAACGAAAATTATAATTGAATTTTACACATTACAATTATTTTCTTCCCTTTTTCATCCATACAGTCGAGCCAGATTATGGAATCTCCCAGACGTAAGTGAATAAACTATTGATCCTTATGTAGTAAAGGTGGATCGTTACCCTGGGTTAGTATATGCCATGCTTATCAGGTCGAGTACTAAATCGAAAACACTATGATTCAAAATCATACATATATTAATTAAAGAGTTTTAAACTTACCTATACACATAAAGCTTTCGTAATGTACTCGTGAAGCAGTGTACACATTATTGGTGAATAGTTGGTGGTAGGATAGGATATAGCCTTGTTATCTTCTACACTGTATTTCATTGTATAGAGATACCGACTGCCATATCCTGTCATGGCAGGATATGTGCACGTTCCCTTGAGCCAATAAAACAGCCAGACCTCGAATATTAAAGCAGTCGATATATCTTTTATATGCCGAATTGAAACAAAAATCTACCAAGAATTCTTACCTTATCCTTTTTTTGAGTAAAGATTGGTTAAAACGTCACGAAAAATCTGAGACACTGTCTGTTAATCTGTGCTGGAAAAATTACTGAAAGTTTCAATCATTTGGAAATCGCAGACTAAAAGTACTTTATGGTGTCCGCGCTCGCACAATGACAATTTTAACACGTAAACTAATGGGGATCGCAGCATGAGGGCATTTCTTTAAAAGACTATTGACCGGAAGGCGGGTATGAGGGCACTTTTCAAAAGACCCTTGACTGGTATGCGGGCATGGCTAAAATCACGACTCCAATCAGATGGCTAGATTGCTAAAGAGAGGCATATAATTATGTCTATTCTCTTCCGTCGTTTGTCATATTACTCTCACTTCTATACAGACACGGCCGAATAAAGTTCGCATCAGACAAAATGCTAAAGATATTGTCTGGTTTAGTCTGTTCAACGAAGGATGCACGTGACCTTGGCTACCAGCTTGGCTTCTCGCATTCAACGGTAAATAAATACCTTGACAGAGCAGACTCCTCGGCTAACAGCGTTTCAAGCTCAGGATTCAGGGAGATGCTTCGTGACTGGAGACGGTGTGTTCGACCGAATGAGCAGGTTAATAAACTTCGTCTTGCTTTAGAGGAAACTGGGTTAAGTTATACAGCCCAGGTCCTCTTGCACGAAAACTAGTTTGAACGTGCAAACGGCATGGCCGCGATCAGATGTAATTTTAAAAAGACTAAATAGATTTACACATTTTTTAACATCTTTTTAATGATAATACGGAAATACAACCTACTAAACTAAACAAAAAGAGAGCAGAAAAATCCGAAAAATAGACTAGTGAAAGTTTGAAGAAAATCGGACAAGAAATAAGTCAGTTATGAATATTTAATGATCTAATCACTAGACTTATAGGCACTTCAAATAGGCTACACAAATGCTCTGGAAATCCCCTCATATTTGAAAGGAGACTAAAAAAGGTATTACAAAAATCTACTGAATATTAAAGCCAGATACAGTGTGCGCAGTGTTTACACCTTTTGCAAAATTTAGTACATTTGTATATCATTTCGATTAAATAAAAATCCTCATAATTTACAGCTTTGTTGTGACACCCTATACCATTTAACATTCCCAGTAACATATATACAATTTTCTTTTCAATGCAATGGCATGCCCAGTACTCGTGTCTCTTCAATGTGCCTATAATCCATAGAGCAGCACACTCTAAAACATATGCTTATGAATATGATAATGATTGCAGAAAATATTTTCTTTATTTTAAGGTTGTATGAATATTGTTTCAGTTTTGTTCCAACGATGACAATGTCCATAAGATTATAATTGCAGTCAATATTTCCTTTATTGTAAGGTTGTATAAATACTGTTTCAATTATGCTACTAGAAACATTTCCTTTATTGTACGGTTGTATAAATACTATTTCAATTCTCTTACTAGAAACATTTCCGTTATTGTAAGGTTGTAAAAATACTGTTTCCATTTTGTTACTAGAAACATTTCCGTTATTGTAAGGTTGTAAAAATACTGTTTCCATTCTGTTACTAGAAACATTTCCGTTATTGTAAGGTTGTAAAAATACTGTTTCCATTCTGTTACTAGAAACATTTCCGTTATTGTAAGTTTGTAAAAATACTGTTTCCATTCTGTTACTAGAAACATTTCCGTTATTGTAAGGTTGTATGAATACTGTTTCAATTCTCTTACTACAAACATTTTACTTCATTGTAAGGTTGTATAAATACTGTTTTAGTTATGTTACTACAAACATTTTACTTCATTGTAAGGTTGTATAAATAATGTTTCAATTCTGTTACTAGAAACATTTCCTTTATTGTAAGGTTGTATGAATACTGTTTCAATTCTCTTACTACAAACATTTTTACTTCATTGTAAGGTTGTATAAATACTGTTTCAATTCTGTTACTAGAAACATTTCCTTTATTGTAAGGTTGTATAAATACTGTTTCAATTCTCTTACTACAAACATTTTACTTCATTGTAAAGTTGTATAAATACTGTTTCAATTCTGTTACTAGAATAATCATGTACATGAGATTGTAATTACAGAATATATTTCCTTTATTGTAGGGTTGTATGAATACTGTTGTAGTTCTGTTGCTACAATCAGCAAATACTTGATACAGTATTCGCAGTATATATATATTTTATTTTGTAAGTTTCTATGAATACTATTTTAGCTCTATTGCTACAAATATCTAATGTATGTGATACTAATTGCAGAATATATTTTCTTTATTAAAAGTTTTATATGAATACTGTTTCTGTTTTGTTGCTAGAATAATCATATACATAAGATAATATTTACAGAAGATGTTTTCTTTGTTGTTTGAATACTATATCAGTTCTATTGCTACGATGATGTTGCACATAAGGTAATCAATACAATATATATATATATACATGGTTCATCATAACGTGGTTTGAAAACTGTTCAACTTATATTGCTAGAATAATCATGTAAATAGTACAATATGTCAGACCAAATTTCCTTTACTATGAGACTACATGACTAGAGTTTCATTTGTATTGCTATTATGGTCATGTATATAAGACAACAAATTAATACAGAAGGATATTTTCTTCATTGAAAGGTTTTATGAAGACTGTTCTTTTTTTTTTAAATACGGTTATCATGTATATAAGGCAATAACTGAAATTAATATATGCTTTATTATAAGGTTGTATGAAAACGGTTTTAGCTGTATGGCTACAACAATCATGACTTGTATATGAAACAACAATAGCATTGGATATTTTTGTTATTGTAAATATGCATCAAAACTGTTTCTGTTATATTGCTACTAATCATTTAAGTTAACGTTAAGTTGTGTAGTATAGGTAAACAATTATTTGTGAGCTTTTCTATTCATTTTATATAGGCGAAGAATATCATACGAAAAATGCTTCTTAAAGATGACTGCTCATAAAATGCGATCATATTCAAAATATGACAAAGTAACTTCAGTCTTTGGACTAGGTATTGATGACATTATTTGCTTTCTTATATTGCCACATGATGTGTGTGCAGTGTTTTTTCAACTGCATGCTGATTCCAGCTAGATTGCATATCGT